AAACTAAACAAAAAGCAAACCAAATCCCCAGAAGCAATAAGCTAGAGCCTACTAGAGATATATTTGAAATCTGAGATCAGTAGTTACAAGATGAATACATTCCAGCTTCACACATGGTAACTAATGAGCATTTATCTGCATTCAAGAGATGGTGCTTTTTGGTATATATGTCTTCCAGGCAAGGAAAATATGAAAGTGTTTACTGTTTCCTTACTATTTTTTTTTAAGATTTTATTTATTCATGAGAGACAGAGAGAGGCAGAGACACAGGCAGAGGGAGAAGCAGGCTCCATGAAGGAAGCCTGATGTGGGACTCGGGGATCACGCCCTGAGCCAAAGGCAGACGCTCAACCACTGAGCCACCTGGATATCCGTGTTTCAATCCATATATATATATGTGTGTGCGTGTATAGTATATATTACGTGTATGTTTATGCATATATTGTACATATATATGTATATACATATGCAAATTATGTATATATTATATAAACATGTATATATTATACATATATATTTATGTATATATTTCATGAATATGAGTTTTACTGATATATAATTCAGATCCCATAAAACCAACCCATTTGAAGGGTATATAATTCAATGGTTTTTAGTATATTCAGAATGGTGCTTTACTAGCTAAAACTTTAGTATTTTTAAATACCTGTAAAATTTATAAAATGGTTTTCTACTTTCCCTTTATTCTTACTTCTGTAAATTATCTATAAAATGACTTAAAATATAAAAGGTAGGGTGTCATTGGACCAGATGGTAAATAGTGATGGCTATTTTTCCTGTTATATTGAGGGAAAACCAGTGAGCAAAGATCCATCACCTCTGGTCCCTGAAGGGAGAAGGGAAAGCAGCCCTATTGCTGGGTCTGTGTTCGCCCTCTCCTCTACAAGGTAAAAATATTCTTAAAGGCCAGGGGAGCCCTATCCTCTCAGGAATTTAGGATTCAAAGGGTCTGGCTCCTCTGGCTCTCCACACAAAGGACTGGCGGGAGCACGCTGATCATGGGGGCAATCCCTGGCCAGCCAGTGACGGTGGAGGGTGGGATGAACCCATCCCAGCAGCACTCCCCATCAGCGGACAAAGGCCCAGCTGTACCTAGCTGACTGAACTGCTAATACAACACAGGATTGAGCAGCAGAGGCCTGATCTCATTTGAATCTCGGGGCCACTGTGGCTCTTTGTAAAAATAAGGGCTTGGGGTCAAGTAAGTTGTTCCCAACCTCAGGATTCATGTTATTTGTTTTCAAACCAGTTTGCAGGGATCTTGAAATATTCTAAATATTTTCCAAGTCTAAGAGAATTCATACATTCCCCTAAGATGTAGGATATGGGTTAAAGTTGCTATAAAATGAAGTTAGTAATGGAACTGGCCCAGAACAGGGATGTTGAGATTAATGAAGTGTTTACAACAAGCTTGGGGCATTTAACAATTAAATTCTCACCACGGTCACGCTGCTTATCAAGTTATACATGTAGTTTTAATCAATAGGGAAGTAGTTTGTTTCATAAAGGAACATCAAAATCTCATGTTCCTGAGGGAGAAATATGGCAAGAAAAACTATCTTTTGAGGTTAAAATGCGGATTCTCACTAGGTGGAACATGGCATGGTAAAAGGCCAAATTCAGGGAGCCTGGGTGGCTCAGTGGTTGAACATCTGCCTTTGGCTCAGGTTGTGATCCTGGGGTCCAGGGATTGAGTCCTGCATCAGGCTTCCTACAGGGAGCCTGCTTCTCGGCCTGTATGCCTCTCTTGAATGAATATAAAAATCTGAAAAAAAAAAAAAAATTAAAAAAAAAAAAAGCCAAATTCACCACCTGTAAAATAAGAGCAGTGAGACCTGACCAGTGATGCCCACTCCACAACAGTAGCAGAAAGCTGTTTCTATGGTCAGGGCCCTTACAGTTGAGGAGAACCCAATACCATGAAGTTAAGCTATTAATGAGTCCCAAGAAGAAACGCTTAAGTACTCGATAGTAACATTAACATTTACAGAGGATCAGATACTGTGCTATGAAATCATAGGCAGATCAGACAATAATTCAGGTCCCCAAATTTGTCCTAAGTTGCGAACCTGGTTTTAAACCCAGTCTGGGATGCCTGGGTGGCTCAGGGCGTGATCCTGGGTGTCCAGGATTGAGTCCTGCATTGGGCTCCTTGCAGGGAGTCTGCTTCTTCCTCTGCCTATGTCTCTCATGAATAAATAAAATTTTTAAAAATACAAAAAATAAACAGTCTGACTGGAAGGCCTGGGCTCTTAGCTGTTGTCTCCAGCGGTAATACACTAGATGATAAACACTACAGACAGGTACTGATAGATCTTTAACTTCCAACAGCCCTGTGAGATACTGAGGACTGGAGATTCACCATCAGTGGATCAGTGCCGCTATCACATTTGAACCCAGGTCTGATTGCAAAGCCATTTCTCCCTACCACCAGTCTCCTTTATAAAGCACTCTGCAGAGAATGGTATCCTCAACCCCACCATGCTTGAACATTCCCATAACCTTTGCCTCATCTCCCAAGTAGTAGATTGACTGACTGGAGGTGGGCAGCAGACCCCCCCCCCCCACATGATCATCCTGCTGTAGGTTCCAGCAGCCTGTGCCAATAGAAGGTTCTGTCTGGAGGGAAACCTCCATAAGAAACCCTCTGCCCATGGTCTCTGAAGCCACCAGCTTCTATACTTCTGGTTCTCCATATGGACAATGCTGTCCGTTGGTCTGGGGCCCTTGCTTGCACCCACCCAGGGCCTCTTTCCAAGTTCTCACATCTCAGCAGCTATTCTTTCCTTGCTTGATGGACAAGCTGATCAATCAGCTCCTGCTTGAAGCCTGTCATGGTGCCAGGAATCCTAATGACCAGAACTTAACTCTTTAGAGCTTGACAGTAACCTTTCGTCGAGAAGTCCATGAAAGGAGGTCATCTGCTTCCATGTTACAACCAGTCAGATTTTCACCAGTGGGTTCCAAGCGCCATTCCACAAGTTTTGGCTGCCCAGTACCAACACTTTGCCTACTGAGGTAAAGGAGAGAGCATTGTGCAAGTCTGGGCCCCACCTCTACAATCAAAGGGGCTAGTTAGCTATTTTTCTCCCCACCTCAGGCAGCTGGATTACACACAGGACTAGCCAGATATTAACATGTCAACTTTCAACTTTAAAGGGACTGACACAAAGGAAAAAGAGCTGAAAAACTAATCCAGGATTGGTGGTGTTAACATCCTCCAGAGTAACCTGCATTTCTTGATGGGCTGTGGTTAGAGTGCTTACCCAAGTTCTACATTTACTTTCGTTTTTTGAAATGGTTAAAAAAAAAAAAAAACCACACCCCAAGGCCTCTTTCTTTACTGGAGTAATGGCTATCCAAGGGTACATTAACTCTAGCTTTACAAACGCATGCCAATAATTCCACATGCGCATGCAATTCAATGAGTTTTACTTTCCTTCCCCAAGCTACTACTTTGATACTTATTTCCTGCTACAGCACCCCCTGGTGGGACATTAACAGCACTTCTGAATCCAACACACCTAACTTCCAGTTTTAAGTAGATTGAGTAAAGAATTTAAACAATCACATAATTTGATACACAAAGACCTGTGACTGGCTGTGCTAGTACTAGACACTGAGGCCCTACATGATCAGGATTGCCTTAACCTGTTTCCAGCACCCAGTATTCTGGATGCTATTAGCCTGAACTACTTTCACAGCAAAAAATTCCCTCACAGCTGAACTACACAAGTCCAAAAATACAAGAATTAAAGCAACATAGCTCCAACACTTTCCAGTAAATTGCAAAATGCCACTAGTTTTACCCAGAAGGGATAAAAAACCCTACTGCCTGGGGCAGCCCCGGTGGCACAGCAGTTTGGCGCCACCTGCAGCCTGGGGTGTGATCCTGGGGATCCAGCATCCAGTCCCACATCAGGCTCCCTGCATGGAGCCTGCTTCTCCGTCTGTGTCTCTGCCTCTCTGGAAAAAAAACAAAACAAAACCTATTGCCTGTATTTCATTAGATTTGGGGGTGGGCACAGAATCCTTTATCCAGAGCACTCAAATCTCACTTTACACATATATAGTACTGACGAGGCCCAACACCAGCCTGTCTAAAATCACTTCCTCCTTAGCCCTTCCCAGAAAACTTTCTTCAGCTTGAGAAACTGTCACCTCAAGGTGAGGGGAAGAATGGGGAAATAAGGAACATTTACATTTTTTATTCAGGCTCTAGTTCCTAATACATTAGGGACTAGAATATACACATTCCACTCCCTAAAACAGTAAACACGTTAGCTTTGCCAGAGGTTATGGACTTCTAAAGGGAAGTGTCTCTACTAGTGATAGGTGGTCTCAGTTCCATGAACCCTGACAAAAACAGGGCAGCCCCGATGGCTCAGCGGTTTAGCACCAGCCTTCAGCCCAGGGTGTTATCCTGGAGACCAGGGATCGAGTCCCCTGTTGGGCTCCCTGCATGTAGCCTGCTTCTCCCTCTGCCTGGATCTCTGCTGTGCCCTCTCTCTCTCTCTGGGTCTCTCATGAATAAATAAAATCTTTAAAACAAAACCACACTGACAAAACCAGCAATAGGTGATGGTCTAGATACAGCATAAATATCAAAGGTTCTTGAAGGAGGGGGCAGAGATACATTTGTCACTGTGCTCAATGGAACTCATTCCCTATATAGCCATGTATGGATTTTCATGCCACCTTGGTCCCACACTAATTTCACCCAATGAAACTACGAGGACTCCATTTCTTATAACTATCAATAGAAAACACTTCAAATATGACAAACTGTAGACAATGTAAATGTTCTTTACATTCTTCTGAAGTATAATGGCTAAAAGGACTGAACAAAGAAGTGTGGATTCTAATAAATGTACTTCTCAGGATTTTCAGTGGCACAAGCAAATTCCCTTTACACTTCAGACATGCTCAGGATAAAATGTAGAATTATACAAAACTACCTATAGGGTAGAAATGACCGAATATACAATAGGCACCGTATTTATTTTCTATGTGCTATAAGATTTCTTTATGCATTAGAAAAGAAAAACATCTTAAATATATCCCTCTTCCAAACCTATAACCTCAAACTGCGGGTGAATTAATCAAGGTGCTATCCAACTAGCAATCAGCCTTCACTTTAGATTTATAGGATATTACTCTGGTTAGCTGTTTGGGTCTTCCTGTTCTGGCTCTTGCCTCACAACAACAGCTGAAACCAAGGATTTCAGGGAAAATGAGGCCGGCAGCCAACCAAGTTAATGTTCCCTTCAGGCAATAGAATTCTCAGACCAAATAGTGGACAGTCTATTTGTGCCACGTGTTTTAGTCAAATTTTTTATTAAAGGTCTTCACAGAGTAAAATCCAGCCTCCAGATCCAACTGCCAAGGAGACCCTGAAACCAAATAGAGCACAACAGTAAGAACAGAATCTTCACCTGAATATGGGTTGTTTCATTTCTCATTTAGGGTTTGCATGAAGAATATATACACACAGAACACCTAGAAACAAACAAAAGGTGCTAGCCATAGAAGAGGGTTGGTGATACCTTTTTAACTGCTGAAGGGGCTGCTGAACAACAGGTAACTACTAACAAGAGTGCCTTGATTTTAAGTAAATAAAAGGAAAATTCTTGTTTCAAACACACTGGTAAACATAAGAATGTCTTAGGAGACTAAAGGCAAGTATTTCTTCCTACAGAATCCCTGGTTAAATGGGCCTCTGGCTCCAACCATGTTAAGTATAATCCAACGTTTGCATAGCAAGTGCTTACAACAGTACGGGATATACAATTATTAGGGAGACAAAGGATAAGGGTCCTGCAGGCCCACCCCAAGAGGCCCCTAGAGACACACCTATTTATGCTGTGGGTACTGGCTGCGGCATAGCAGGAGGCTCTGGCTTCCCACCCTTCTGTTCCGAGATGGGGGTGGTGGGCAGTATCTCATCCTTGGGTTCCACAATGCTCACGTGATCCGGCAGGGGCTTCTTAGGGCCAATCTTACCACTAGGGTCCCAGGGAAGCATGATCTTGACTTTGATGCCCAGCACACCTAGAAGATGCCATAATTAGAATCTAGCTGTGGTTGTACCCATCATCCCACAATAGGATAGAGCAAAGTAAAGTAATACTAGGTTACTCAAGCACCCATGGGTCCAGTCCCTTCTCAGACAAATGCCTCTAATCAATCAATAAACAGGACACTTTTGCAAAAGGAACCCATGCACAGCACCACAGAACGTGGCACTGACAAGGACCAAGAGCAGGATGTGACCTTTCTGACTCGTCATCGTGTCATCACCGAAGGGTACATAGGTGGCTGAGACAAAAGCAAACCAACTCTTGGATCTCAGCAATTTACTTCTTAGAGGTCAATGCAGCTCGTGAATAAACTCACGTGGAGTACAAACATGCTCCACTACTCCCAAAACATGTTCCCTGACATGGAGGTATACATGAAAAAAAAAACATCTATCTGCTAAAAGCCCTCTGCCTCAAGCACTCCCAGCTGCTCACCCTGTCTGAGCAGCACATGGCGCACAGCTGTGTCAACGTAGTAGTTAACAGGGTCTCCACTGTGAATCATCAGGCCATCCACAAACTTCATGGATTTAGCCCTCTGTCCTCGGAGTTTCCCAGACACCACGACCTCACAGCCTTTGGCCCCACTCTCCATGATGAACCGCAGCACACCATAGCAGGCCCTTTGGGAGAACAAGAAACATCCACCTGCTATAACCAAAGACAAGACTATTCAAGCCTACCCTATCCCCATCCCACCTCCCATTCTTTTAAGATTTATTTATTCACAGGAGACACAGAGAAAGAGAAAAAGAGAGAGAGAGGGGCAGAGACACAGGCAGAGGGAGAAGCAGGCTCCATGCAGGAAGCCCAATGTGGGACTCGATCCTGGGACCCCAGGATCACACCCTAGCTAAAGGCAGATGCTCAACCGCTGAGCCACCCAGGCATCCTAACCACCCTGCCGTTCTTAAAAAATAAAAACAAAACCATAGACTTACTAGTCTACAATATCTTCAGTGTTCCTTTAATGGAGAATAAATTTGACCAGAGCCTGGCAATTCTCCATTCCTATCACACCTCGTCTTAAGGTAATTCTTTAAGGAATATATATTCCAGTTCCTTCTAACCCAAATGCTTCACAGCATTGGGTGTACATTACAATCACCTCAAGAAGATTAAACTAGAACAACACCTGTGAAGTCCAGGCCTCACACCAGGTCAATTAAACTGGCAATTACAGACTCAAGAATTTACTCTTTTTTCTTTATTTGGGATAGAGGACACATGCAAATGGAGGGAGGGGAGATCTTAAGCAGGCTCCACACTCAATACAGATTGAGAGCTGGCCATGGTTCAATCTAACAACTCTGAGATCACGTCCTGAGCCAAAACCAAGAGTTGGACGCTTAACCAACTCAGCCACCCAGGCACCCCTAAACTGGCAATTAAATGGTGGGGGTGGTAAAACTCAAGCATAGGTCATCCAGTCCATCTCTGCAAATGTAGCATTTCACAATGAGTTGGTAAACAACCAGTAAGAACCCAGTCAGAGTGGCCCCTTTATGGTTTACTAAATATTCCTCAATCTCCAGAATTCACATTTATTAGGAATCCAAGCTACTAATGAAGGCTCCTAGCTGCCCTAACCAGAGTGCTGGGAAAGATACTTCTAGAACTATAAAATTGACAATAAGCCGTAAAATATGCCCCCCCCAACTCATTTATTACTACACACCCTAGGACATACTAATTAGGAGAGCTAGCTGCCACCTTCAACAGGGAAAGTAAAGCAGGACCCACCACTCTAGGTTCAAGCCCCTTCGCATCATCTCATTTAATCACCACTAAAAGGAGAGGTGGATATAATGACCCCCCATTTACAAACAGGAGATCCAAGGGTCAGATGTTCAGTAAGTGGCTCAGGTCTCAGAACTTCCAAGTCAGTGGGTATAAAGAGGGTTGCTGGTCCACACTCCTTTTCACTTCAGCAGGCGGAGACCGAGAATTTTTCTAACAATTCCTCCAAGGATATCAGTGACCATAGCCCAAGGATCAAGCTTTTGAGGACCACAGTTCTAAGTAGTGTAGCTGGCATTCAAACCAGCCAGGCAGTCTTTCTTGTATGTCCCTACCTATAACACCTTTCCTGCCATCCATCTCCCCACCAGGTCAATGTTCCTAAAGCACAGCTCTTAAATTCTTCTCCTGCTGAGAAAACCTCCCAGGGCTCTGCAGGAAGTACCACCTAAATTTCATACACCCAGGAAAAGCATTCCAATTACAACGGTGAAAGTACACAAAGAACTCCTACTGAAACCTCATCAGAAAGGCCCGGCTCCAGGGCCAATCTAGCTACCTCATGCACTCTATAATCCACTCCTCACATCATACCTACATACTGCTCAGATTAGCTCTCTCCCATCAGGACTATGTCTTATGTCTTTATAATCTCCACACTTCATGGAGCCGAGTTAACTTCAACAGGAACCCTGACCTCCTCTCCTTGGAGTTGTTTTTGTTCTATTACCTAAGCACCAAGAAGTGTACTCCCTTTATAGCACTGACCACTCTTTAAAACATAATCATTCAGGGATGCCTGGGTGGCTCAGTAGTTGAGTGTCTGCCTTTGGCTCAGGGTGTGATCCCGGTCCAGGGATTGAGTCCCCGCATCAGGCTCCCTGTGAGGAGCCTGCTTCTCCCTCTATCTCCCTGCCTCTCTGTGTATAACTCATGAATAAATAAATAAAATCTTGAAAAAAAAATCATTCAAAGTCTCAGGACACTTACCTCCGCACAGCAAGGCCTCCTAGGAGTTTGTAACGCAGTGACTCTGCCTGGGCAATAGCACATAGACCTCTTGTGGCCACCTTTTCGGCATAGAGCTTTAAGAAATCAAGACACACCCTTAAACCTGTTAACTTTTCCCATTGTTTTCAATTAAAAAAAAAAAACATTCACCATACAAGCATGTGGTCACTGTGGCATCCCTCAAGTACTAAAACACTCCTACTACTCATAGGTAGCCTACGCTGTGACATAGTCTGAAATCTTTCCTTATTGCCCTCTCATCCTAGATATTTCTACAGCTACATCAAGTGATGGGATAGCCAATCCATCATACATATCATTACCATACTTAAGTTGAGAGTAAAAAATCCATTAACCACCAGAAATGAGCAGAAAAGGCCTATAAAATGAAGCCTGCTACTTATTAAGACAACTTCAACAAAACACCAATTCATATGTAATACTTGGTGATAACTAAGGTCTTCATGACAGTAAGGGTTTATAAAAGTAACCACCCTAAATAACCATTTCCAGGTCCACAGTAATCTCTGGCAAAAGGTAAAATCACTCACCTCTACACTGCCCTCAGGAAAACCAAACCTCTTCTGAACCACAGCAGTCAATTCCCGGATCCTCCGGCCCTTTTCACCAAGAACATTCTGTGTCCTGAGAAAACGGAAATACACAATAGCTCTCACAAAACTGCAAACATGGCTTTAAATTTTACATATATGTGGTAATCAAGTCTCACCCGTCTAACATAGAAAATACAAATTTTGGAAGACAAGAGCTAGAATCAGATTTAAAAGGCAGTTAGGAAAATACACCTTGGTGGGGTGCCGCGTTGGCTCAGTTGGTTAAGTGTCTGCCTTTGGCTCAGGTCACTCAGGTCAAGATCCCAGGGCCCTGGGATCAAGCCCGGCAATGGGCTCCCTGCTCCTCCCTCCCTCAGCCCCTCAACATCCCCTCCTCCCATCCTCCGCTTGTGCACTCTCAGTCAAATGAATAAAAATCTTAAAACCACTTACGTTTGCTAATAAGGCCGATTCACTGGTTCTCCCTGGAAGTTTACAGGATACACCAACCTAGCATATACAACAAGTAACAGGTGCTAGACAGGAAAATGAGATCTCACCTGGTGGCCAGGATAATGATTTCTGTCCTGGTTGGTGTAACTCGGACCTCAACCCCAGAGTAGCCATCTTCAGCCAGCTCCCGAGTGAGAAACTCATTCAGTTCAGCTTTGAAGATGCCATCAGCGACAAACTAACCAAAAGGGAAAATTCACAATTAGAACGTGGGATGGCAGGGTCATTGTCCTTCTGCCAATGCAATACCTCATACAAACATCCCATCATCACTCTTACTACCCTTGTTCCAACACAATTTAACAACCCTTCTCAGACAAATGCCTCTAGATCGTCCTTTGGAAGTTACTTTAACCCAAGGACCCTTAAAACTGCCACAGAACGCAGCAAGGAGTAGGGGCCGCCTGGCAAAGATAACACCTCCAGTCAGACTCGTCATCTTCTCTTCATTGAAGGGTTTTAAAGACTTCTTTACGTGTAGCACATGCCAAACAAACAGCTGCTCTAAAATGGCACATTCACGGGATGCCCAGGTAGCCCAGCAGTTAAGCGCCTGCCTCCGGTCCAGGCGGCCCAGGGCGGCCCAGGGCGTGATCCTGGAGTCCCGAGATCCAGTCCCACATCGGGCTCCCTGCATGGAGTCTGCTTCTCCCTCTGCCTGGGTCTGTGTCCCCCATGAATAAATAAGTAAAATCTTAAAATAAATAAAATAAAATGGCACATTCACAACTCCTGTCAGTAGAGCAGAGATGCTGCCTTCAAGGACCATCAGAAGACTCCCAGCCATGTTATCTGGCCTACAGTACATGTCTCACAAAGCTGGAGAAGACTCCCAGCCATGTTATCTGGCCTACAGTACATGTCTCACATTCGAAAAAGTGTGTGGATTTGCACAACGCTGTGTACACACACAAAATGACAAGTTAGTTGCCTCTTTCTAAAGCAAGTAGACTTTACAGTTTCCGCCTGCGGAAAAGCGAAAAGTTAAAGCTCGATCCAGTGCTCTGTCCGGTTCTCCTCCCTCCCGGTTAGTTTCTCCGCGGTAGAGACGGGGCAAGAGACAGCAGCCTCTCCAACCGAGGTCTCGGGGGCCAGAGGGCCGCGCCCCGACACGAAGGCGTGCACACGCTACCTCCCCTCCCAAAGTCCTAGTGTGAGACATTAGGGGGAACGGCCCAACCTCTCAAAATACGCTTACTAAAGCTATCGGTTAACCAAGCCATGCTCCCAAGCGCTTTGTCTCGGGCGGGAGGGGCGCCCGGTGCTCACGTCTGGGCTTCGCCCAGAAGCGGCAGAAGTCTCTCATCACTCCTTTCCGCCGCCAAACCGCGCTCGCCTGGCTCGGGCCTCGCATTCAATCCACCGCCATCCGCGGTCCGCGGGAATGCCACGCGGCCCAGGCCGCTTCCCGAAGCAGGGCTCGAAGCTGAGCGTCTCGCGGCGGCATCTCGACAAGCCTCGACCCGCGCGGCACCACAGATCCCCGAACCTAGGCCCCAGCGTCTTACCTTCCTCTTCTTGGAAATTTGCACCGCCATCTTGCCGCCGCGCGCCCCGGAAAGAAAAGGAAGGGGCTCGTGGGCGGAAGTAGGTATAAAGGGCGCGAGCTACGACAAAGAACTGCGCGACGTCGACGCCTGTAGGCGCTCCTGGGAATTGTAGTTTTTAGGAAGGCATTAAAGAAAAAAAAAAAAGGAGGGGTAATGGAGACACGTATAGGCAGAAACAGGAAAGGGAGCAGATCAATCAGGGGAGCTTAGGTCCAATTCTTATTAGCTTAAGTGAGCAACGTGAGGCGCAGAGATGGAAATTACAGGTATAAACTGACACAGCAACAGCGTGCAATCCTAGTCCCTGCACTCTACACTCAATGAAATTCGTTTAGGTCCAGCTCTTCTGTGTCCGTTTTCTCTGTTCCAAATGCTGGCGATATAAATATCTAATATTTATTAAATATGCTAGGGCCTGTTCTATGCCCTTTATATTATGAACTCATTTACCTCTGCCTCACTTTCATAAAGTCTATTAAAACTAGTAACGGAAGTCACCAAGTAGTGGTTCATGGGGTCACAATTATTTTTCCGTTAAAAAAAAAAAAACTGTTCCCCTTATATTTTGAAATTTTCAAGCACACAAGAAGGTTGAAAGAATTATGTATATGCGTCACTAAGGTGATCCAATTAACATTTTTGCCATATTTTCTTTATCCCTTATCTATCCATCCCTCTATCCACCCAAGGGTGCATCTTTCGATCTTTTTCAAGGTAAATTACAGCCCTCTGCACACTTTACTCTGAAACACCTCAACAACAGTTTTATTGAGAAATAATTGGCATACATCACTGTATACGTTTGAGGCATGCAGCATGATGCTTTGATTTACAAATATTGTGAAATGATGACCAAAATAGGTTCAGCTAATACCCATCGTGTCATATAGATACAATAAAAAGAAAAGAAGAAAAGAAAAACAAGTTTTTCCGTGATGAAGTTTTATTTTAAATTTGAATAGTTTTTTTTTCAAAGATTTATTTATTTATTCATGAGAGACACAGAGAGAGTGAGGCAGAGACACAGGCAGAGGGAGAAGCAGGCTCCACGCAGGGAGCCCGATGTGGGACTCGATCCCGGGACCCCAGAATCATGCTCCAAAGGGAGGCGCCCAACCGCTGTGATTTTAGGCAAGTCACTTAACCTTCCTGAAGCTCAGATTCTTCATCTGGAAAGAGAAGAAATGATCATTACTCTCATAGGATTTCTGTGATCCAGTTAAATGGTAGCTTTGAAGCACTCGGTATAGTTCCTAGCCCATGGAAAGGCTTCATTAAGTGGGGCACAGTATCATTGCTTTCAGCACAGATAAGCAACTTGGCATTTAGGGTTGCCTTAAACTTCAGTGTTCTTGGCTAAGGTAAGTTACCATCTTACCAAATACTTCCCAACAGTAACAGGTGGGCTCACATTGCTGTTCTTGCAGAAGACCAGAACACACTAGGACTTTTCTTTTTTAAAAAAAAAAAACAGGGATCCCTGGGTGGCGCAGCGGTTTGGCGCCTGCCTTTGGCCCAGGGCGCGATCCTGGAGACCCAGGATCGAATCCCACATCGGGCTCCCGGTGCATGGAGCCTGCTTCTCCCTCTGCCTATGTCTCTGCGTCTCTCTCTCTCTCTCTGTGACTATCATAAATAAATAAAAAAAAAACAACTATTTATTTATTTATTTAAGAGAGAGAGAGAGAGAGCAAGCTGGGGTGGTGAGGGGCAGAAGGAAAGAATTTCAAGCAGACTCCCCTGGGCTGGGCACGGAGCCAGATGTAGGGCTCAATCCCAGGACCCTGAGATCATGACCTGAGCCGAAACCAGGAGTCAGATGCTCAACCAACTGAGCCATCTGGGCACCCCCACACTGGTACTTCTCTTTCTCATGCATGTCAGGCACAATTTGAATACTGCTAAAGGACCATACCACTATAATGTATATGGCAGAGAAAGCTCCCTTCAAGGGAAGATGTGGAAATAATTGGTCCAAAGATAAGACTGCTGAAGCAGAAAGATGTGGCCATGGGGCAGAAAAAGGCCAGGGAAGCCTCAACCCATCATCAGGCTTCCTCCAAGGGCATGGGATCAATGTCTGGGGGGGGAGAGACAGGGCCCAAGGACAGCTGCAACAGGGACCAACCAGTTAGGGCGGCACAAGCAGGTAAGAAAGACTGGCTATGTCGAATATTAGTTGACCATAAAGTTGAGGGTCCACTTCTGGATTCTCTATTCTGTTCCATTGATCTATGTGTCTGTTTTTGTGCCAGTACCACACTGTCTTGATGACCACAGCTTTGTAGTATAACCTGAAATCTGGCATTGTGATGCTATGGTTTTCTTTTTTAATATTCCCCTGGCTATTCAGGGTCTTTTTTGATTCTACACAAATCTTAAGATGATTTGTTCCAACTCTCTGAAGAAAGTCCATGGTATTTTGATAGGGATTGCATTAAACGTGTAAATTGCCCTGGGTAACATTGACATTTTCACAATATTAATTCTTCCAATCCATGAGCATGGAATACTTTTCCATCTCTTTGTGTCTTCCCCAATTTCTTTCAGAAGTGTTCTGTAGTTTTTAGGGTATTGATCCTTTATGTCTTTGGTTAGGTTTATTCCTAGGTATCTTATGCCTTTGGGTGCAATTGTAAATGGGATTGACTCCTTAATTTCTCTTTCTTCAGTCCATTGTTAGTGAATAGAAATGCCACTTATTTCTGGGCATTGATTTTGTATCCTGCCACACTGCCAAATTGCTGTATGAGTTCTAGCAATCTTTTGGTGGAGGCTTTTGGGTTTTCTATGTAGAGTATCATGTCATCTGCGAAGAGGGAGAGTTTGACTTCTTCTTTGCCAATTTGAATGCCTTTTATTTATTTTTGTTGCCTGATTGCTGAGGCTAGGACTTCTAATACTATGTTGAATAGCAGCGGTGAAAGTGGACATCCCTGTCTTGTTCCTGATCTGGGAAAGGCTCTCAGTGTTTCCCCATTGAGAATGATATTTGCTGTGGGCTTTTCGTAGATGGCTTTGAAGATGCTGAGGAATGTTCCCTCTATCCCTACACTCTGAAGAGTTTTGATCAGGAATGGATGCTGTATTTTGTCAAATGCTTTCTCTGCATCTATTGAGAGGATCATATGGTTCTTGTTTTTTCTTTTGTTGATATGATCAATTACATTGATTGCTTTACGAGTGTTGAACCACCCTTGCATCCCGGGGATAAATCCCACTTGGTCATGGTGAATAATCTTCTTAATGTACTATTGGATCCTATTGGCTAGTATCTTGTTGAGAATTTTCGCATCTGTGTTCATCAGGGATATTGGTCTGTAATTCTCCTTTTTGGTGGGGTCTTTGTCTGGTTTTGGAATTAAGGTGATGCTGGCCTCATAGAACGAGTTTGGAAGTACTCCATCTCTTCAATAAATGGTGCTGGGAAAATTGGACATCTGCATGCAGAAGAATGAAACTAGACCATTCTCTTACACCATACACAAAGATAATCTCAAAATGGATGAAAGATCTGAATGTGAGACAAGATTCCATCAAAATCCTAGAGGAGAGCACAGGCAACACTCTTTTTCAACTTGGCCACAGCAACTTCTTGCAAGATACATCCATGAAGGCAAGAGAAACAAAAGCAAAAATGAACTACTGGAACTTCATCAAGATAAAAAGCTTCTGCACAGCAAAAGAAACAGTCAACAAAACTAAAAGACAACCTACAGAATGGGAGAAGGTATTTGCAAATGACCTATCAGATAAAGGATTAGTATCCAAGATCTATAAAGAACTTATTAAACTCAACAGCAAAGAAACAAACAATCCAATCATGAAATGGGCAAAAGACATGAACAGAAATCTCACAGAGGAAGACATAGACATGGCCAACAAGCACATGAGAAAATGTTCCACATCACTGGCCATCAGGGAAATACAAATCAAAGTCACAATGAGATACCACCTCACACCAGTGAGAATGGGGAAAATTAACAAGACAGGAAACAACAAATGTTGGAGAGGATGTGGAGAAGGGGGAACCCTCTTGCACTGTTGGTGGGAATGTGAACTGGTGCAGCCACTCTGGAAAACTGTGTGGTTCCTCAAGGAGTTAAAAATAGACCTGCCCTACGACCCAGCAATTGCACCGCTGGGGATTTACCCCAAAGATACAGATGCAGTGAAACGCCGGGACACCTGCACCCCGATGTTTCTAGCAGCCATGTCCACAATAGCCAAACTGTGGAAGGAGCCTCGGTGTCCATCGAAAGATGAATGGATAAAGAAGATGTGGTCTATATACACAATGGAATATTACTCAGCCATCAGAAAGGACAAATACCCACCATTTGCTTTGACGTGGATGGAACTGGAGGGTATTATGCTGAGTGAAATAAGTCAATCAGAAAAGGACAAACATTATATGGTCTCATTCATTTGGGAAATATAAAAATTAGTGAAAGGGAATAAAGGGAAAGGGGAGAAAATGAGTTAAAATATCAGTGAGGATGACAAAACATGAGAGACACCTAACTCTGGGAAATGAACAAGAGGTAGTGGAAAGGGAGGTGGGCGGGGGTTTGGGGTGACTGGGTGATGGGCACGGAGGGGGGCACTTGGCGGGATTAGCACGGGGTGTTATGCTAAATGTTGGCAAATTGAACTCCAATAAAAAAAATTAAAAAAGAAAGAAAAAGAAAGAAAGGAAGAAGAAAGAAAGAAAGAAAGAAAGAAAGAAAGAAAGAAAGAAGAAAGAAAGAAAGAAAGAAAGAAAAAGAAAGAAAGAAAGAAAGAAAGAAAGAAAAAGAAAGAAAGAAAGAACGGCTAGACCGTTCCCGAGAGGGTGTTACCAAATCCCACTCGAGGAGGGGGAACCCAAGTGAAGTACCCAGAGACATTGTCTAGTTTGACTTTTTCCAAAACTGGCTCTCCCAAAACTTTGCTCACTTTGTCCTCTGGCGGCCACAATCTGCAACTACAGCGCTTTGGTCAACCTCTTTCCCAGCTAGGAGTGGGGCTGGTTGCTCTTCCCAGCGGGGATTCCTTATCTCCTCAACAGGTACACTAACCAAGTGAGCATCTTCGGGAGTCAAATTCAGGGAGCTGAGAATGTGGGAAAGCACACGGCCAGGTAGATGGACGTGCTCCACAAACAAGAGGCAGGAGGCTCTCTCCCCCGGGTTTGACTAGTGGAACCCACACATCAGGGACTGAATTTACTGTGACTCCATGGGGGTACTGGAGGACAAGAATGAGATGGTAACAAGCCAGTGCCACCAACCTCCCAGTTTCCTGCCCAGAGCAAGCTTGTGTGAACAGGCAGCTAGTTAGCTTGGAGACAAAGGGGGAAAGGCAAGAGCCAAGAGGTGGCATGTAGCCATTGCTGCCCATGGGCAGGAGCCAGGCCTAGGGTATGACAGGGCTGCCTGTGAGCAGTGAGGGCTCCTTCTCAGCAATGGTGCTTTGGGCTTTTATAGAGAGAAGCCATTTTAGAACCATTTGATTTAGTTCTCCAGACCCTGATCCTACAGGCTCAGGAAGCCTGGAATTCTGGCTGCAAGTCACCTCTGCTTAGCTTTGCACTCTCCCAGAGACAAAGGATATATCTGGTTCCTGAATGCTGGAGACCTCCACACAGTCATCAAACCCTGGGGAGGATTCACAGCAATGGAATTAGCCTCTACTGCTGAGGGCCGGGGGCTGGGGAGAGTTTGGTGTCCTTGAGGAATGTTGATCATTCCCAAACCTCAGCAATTCCATTCCTGAGGTGCAGCCCGGACTCTGGTCTTCAAAATTTTGTGCTCACATCCTCCCTACAAGAATTTGGAGGATGCACTTTTCCTTTGTACATTCCAAGTTGTGCAGAACTTTAACATAGGTAGAACTTTCCACCATAAGTTTAAATAAACTTGCAGAGACTATAATTTCCAGCACTCTCATAATGTCAACACCTTAAAATATAGCAGTTAGTCACTCTTTTAAATGTATCCACAGGAATATAAATGCCACAGTGATTTGATACCCACAATTATCCACTTTAAAAATACGCAAACAAGTTTTTCTTGAACACTTGCACATTTCATATTGTCTCAATTTCTCCCTGAACTTGTATTTTTATTGTGCACAACCCTGGGAATGCCTTCATGCACCCTGGCAAATCCAGAGTTCCCTTGGAGTG